ACCTCACAACAGTCCTTTCTGTAGGAATAACATGGGACTGATGCGAGTAAACAAGAGACCAAGTGACTACTAGGTAGCTACTGGGTGGGTGGAATATGGTGGATATAGCATCATCAACTAACTCTGGCTCAACGACGCCGGCACCTGATGGATCACCTTCATGTGGAGCGGGAGCATCTTCTCTTGCTTCTGAAGGAGGCCTTCCTTGGGAGATCTTGGGAGCAGCGGCGCAAGATCCGAAGTGGAGACGCTGTCTTTTGCCCGAACGCATAAGTTGAAAACCAGGTTCAAGCCAGTCGAACAAGCTGCTCTGCTGCGATCCTGTCCTCGGCATGACGCGACAAGGCAAGGATGCAGGGAGAGCTACAGGGTACAGCAGACATCCACCTAGAGGTCGAGCATGTGTTCGCACCCAGATTCATATTGTATGCCTCACCGAAAAGGATCTCACAAGAGGTTGCTCAAGCACAACCTGAAGCCAAATCCACAAGCACGTTACGTCACATATAAGTTACGTTACGAAGGCCAACAGTTCATCAGCTCTTGGCTGAAGGCGGCTTGCTTCGATTAGCATGTTCATCCGTTCAAGAAAACGTGGCAATCCTTTGACTGTGGTCTACCCACGCCAAGCTAAAAGAACGCGAGGCCGCAGCCAAGCTTGGACTCGGCGCCAAATCCAAGAGCCGCTGCTCTTGTGCACCCTGAGCGGCATTCTGGCGGTGAGCAGCTAACACGCAATGCACATGATTCACAAGATCCAGCAGCTGACAACCGTTTGCCGTTCAGGTCACTTCTGCGATTTGAGGTAGAAAGTCAAAGGCGCAGACAGATCTTCTTCGAGCATTGCCAAATCACCGGTGAAGTCTACACGCCAGGTGACGCGCAGGAACCTCTGCAGAATTTCTGGACACGATCCACAGCGCACGAACTGCATGAACAGCAAGAGCCTCTTCAAACTCTGAAGAATCACAGAAACAAGGAAGACTTCCTTTGCTCCCGCATGATCAACATGACCCCCGTAGTGCACTTGAGAAGCTGATCACCGCAGCTGCAATGCGAGGGTAACACGGTCAACGACTGCAGCAGCAAGCCAAATACCTGAGAATTTGGACATACTGCTGGCTTCAAGCACAGCCACATACGGGCCACAAAGAATGCCTGAAGGAAGCCCATTTGGTCGTGAGGTGATGGTCACTACAAAATGTGCGTGTTCTTAGGTATTGTCAGAACCGAAGGGTCGAGTTAATCATCGTCGTCACCGCCATCGTTGTGCTAGGGGCGGTGGCACGAACGGGCTTCGGCATAGTTCTCACTGTAGTGGTTGTGGTAGTGGTGGTGCAAAGATATGCGTAGAGAATGACAATCACAATCACAAAGTCAACAAGCACATCAAGAACCAAGGAGTGGGATGAGGAACAAGTACACTGTGCGTGTGTTGGCTCGTTTCTCTTGTTGAACTGCCTAGCAAATACGAGTACGGGGCATGGGGTTCAGATTATGGGCTTCAGAGTTTCAACATGCCCTTAGTTGCCCACAGCTGCAGGCATCTGCAAGTTAGGACGGCAGCCGAGCGTCCATGGAGCATGCATAGATGACAACCTGATGGGCCGCTGCAATAGCGGAGACATGTGGGGTTTGCTGTGCCAGTCGATGCAGTATCGTTCTCAGCAGTTTTGCTACGGACACTTGGCCGCAAGGTCTGCGAACAAAGCTGGCTTAGTTGTTCCAACTCTGTCAGGACGATGGTATTGAGTTGAAGCGAAGCACTTTCCTGAGGATGCGACCTCTGTGTCGCCGCAGTTCAGGTAACCTTGGATGCAGATCTGACTTCACAAGCCATCCATAGGCCGTCTCGATTCCTGCTCATAGAAGTGCTCGCTCCAGCCGCCGAGCAGCAGAAGCCCAGCAAATGAGTGCTGGTGTCTGCGTAGTCCTCCAAGGCCTTGCACTTCTTTGGTGCATCTGCCTGTTCTTGCGTGAAGCTGACCTAAGCTGAGCAAGCAGAGCCCTCAAGTAAAACAGTGCAAGGGGGTGTTCGCAACTTCTTCCTGCAGAACCAGCTGTTGGATCGAGCGCCAAGAGGCACATGCGTCTGGGTCGCGGAGGGACCTGAGCAGCAAAGACAGGCTTCAGTGCGGCAAAACAGAGGGAAGAACTGTGGAAGTTGAAGCCTTTCGTTTGCACCTTATACTGAAGATGACCGGACACGGGGAAAGCAGGTACAACACCTCTTGCAACCGGTCCCAACTAATTGAAGTCTTGCAGCCAAAGGCTAATGATCGCCGCAGCAAGGGCGCAGAGAAGAGAGCAAAGTTGCAGCCGTGGCTGGAGAAGCCTCTCCTGCCAAGCAGTATCTTCTTCTGGATGGAACGATTTATCTCGAACACTTGCTACCCCTAACACTTTAGCGGCACCACACGGGATTTTCCCCCTGGCTCCAAAGCGCACACACATGTCAGTCAGTGTTTGCGTGACTTCGAGGTCCACTAAAGCTGCTGCCGCGGTTGATGCGACCCCACTGGTCGATTCATGCTATCGCGTCTATGGCCGTGAAAACACTAGGCCAAGAGCCTACGTGCGGCTCGTTTGAAACTATGACGTCTCCGCACACTCGCCGTCGCTCCATTTGCAGTCATCATTGGCTTTGCAACGTGCCTGGTCCATAACGGAGCACCTCATCTGACAGGCCTCGTCCCCTGTGCTCCAGTGGCACTGACGCAGGCGACCACAAGACGCTTTGGTCTTTGCATCGTCGCAGGAAAGACAGTAGGCGGTGGCACTCTGGAGCATCTCGCCCGTTCGCGGGAATACTTCGTCGCGTGGTGCGACTTCGCAAACCTGATCTTTGTCGCAGTCCTTGTCGTTGCAAGGGTCGACACACGTCTGCTTGCCATGCTTCACCCGGCAGTCCTCCTTGGGGCCACATTTGTCGTAGATTCGCCGATCGCAGATCTCGACGCAGACTGGATTCGTCGCCCCTTCAAAATTCTTCTGGGTACCATCGCGGCACTCCGTCAAATTGCTGCAGCGAATGTTGTCCTTACATGTCCGTTCTGAATACCACACATCTGCAAATGCCGAATCGCCCTCTGCGATGCCACCAAGGACGTACATGGTGTCACGGTGATCGACCAGAGCCGTGTGCTCGTACCTCGCTGGCCAGCTCGCCACAGGCGTAACCACCGTCCACGAGGCTCCTGCATCTTCCGACCGCCAGACATCCGCCAAGCGGTCTAAGTCAATCGACAACCCGCCAATGATGAACATGCTGCCAGCGCTGGTCATGGTTGCCGCATGCTGGTAGCGCCCAGACCAACTGGCATACTCTGTGACAAGAAGCCAGTTGTCACCAAGGTCAGTCGACTTCCAGACATCGTTGAAGCACTGAACATGACCGGTCTCCTTCTCCGCATAGAAACCACCAAGCAAGTAAATGACATCCTTGGTATCCACTAAGGCTGCGTGCCCGTAACGGGCAGTCCACCATGTTTTCTTCGCCGGCACCTGGTTCCACACCGCTCTTAAGTGGCTGGTTATGCCGGGCTGCGACGGGTGGTGGATTCGCCACACGTCGGACAGGTAGCTCGAACCATCATGTCCGCCGAGGACCACGATCCAGCTCTGTGAAGTCATCACAGCTGCGTGCCCGTGGCGGCCGGACCACGCAGCCTTGCCGAGAGAGTGCCAGACGGAACCGTCTTCTGAGCTCCAACAATCATTCTCCAGCTGTGCGTGCCCTGCAAAGCCTCCCAACACAAAAAAGATGACGCCTTGATGGTCCACCATTGCGGCGTGACCGCGCCTCGCGCTGAAGCGACCTTCTCGCTGAGGTAGCTTCTCCCAGGTTCGGCCCTTATTGGTACTTTTCCAGACTTCGTTGGAAAAGGATCCTCCAGTGGGCCCACCTTTTTCTCCTCCGATCACAAACATGTGTTCTTCGAAGTTCATCACCGCGCCATGTGCGTAAAGGGGGCCGAAGTCTGCACGATCTGTCTTGGCCATCCAAGTGTAGGGGCTCTTGGCCACACCCCTGGCACCCAAGACCTGGACCACGCTCAGGAAACATTGCCAGCAGCCCATGCTATGTGCTTTTCGACTCCTGGACCCTCATGTGCAGTCCTACAACCGCATTGCGTCTGCTGCCGGCAAGCAAGTCAGACGTTAAGGATCGATGAAGCTATGGATGGAGGATTTGCGGCCGGTTGTAGCTTCCGTAATCTGGCACTGATCCAGAACCGAAATTTGTCGAAAAAGCCGGCGGCAAGCTTCTCTCACAACTCGGAACACCCCGTCCCCCTGAATATTGCGCAGGTTGTGTGTTGTCAATTTTCCTGGGAGCGGGGTTCCACTGCATAGGATGGAAGAGCCTTAGCACACCTTGGGCTCTCACAGGTCGCGCTTCAAGGCAATGCTCCACAAGTCTCCTCTGGCTACGACGGGTCGTCCAATCGAACCATTCACGAGGACGTGTAAAGCTGGCGCTTCAAAGCTAATTATATCCCGAAGACACACATGACGAGCCACAACTGCCACAACTACAAGTGCAACTGTAGAACCACGGGAAAGCACAGCGAAGCGATCCTCCGGCGTGCTCTGCATGCTCGGGCTTATGCCCAAATTCAGATCCGGCGGGTTGCTTTGCGGGCTACCCGTGCTGCGCCCCAAGACCATGCGGCCTGGCACACAGCGGCATAGAGCTTCCGGGCCCGCTTCAGTTGATTCAGTCAGCCCAGCCGCACCTGGTGACCGCACATCTCCAATGGGGATGCCTGCGAGGCAGCCGTCCTGCAATCGTCACAAGTCTCGTCTGTGGCCACGAATTCTCAAACAAGAAACCACACCACTTTTTGCAAGCATCATCATACACAGGCAAGGGACGTCAAAGAGGCGGTCGGTGGACTTGAAGCATGAAGGCAGCATGGCCACAGTCTCATCACCGTGCACTGCTAAAGGGCTGTCGCGGGAGAATCCATCGCCCAGACGTCATGTTTTCGCAAACCCACATACCACTGGTAATCTAGTTACGAGTCTCCCACCTTCCGCCAGGCTTCGCAGATCAACAGGTTTCTGGGATTCGGTTCGATTTTGATTTGTTCTACTGGTTCTACTGGGAGTTGTTTGAGTCTGACAAGCACAAAGAAGCTAAAGCAAAGACTTGAACATTACAGAAAAATTTCGCCAGAAGCACATGCGATTGGCAAATGATGGGTCAGTGAAATGCCAACTGAGTCATCTGAGCCGATGTGTCGAGGCAAGCTGTCTGCGTAGCCGTGGCAGCCCAAAAACAAATCCGGTTCTGTTGCCTGCTTATCTGCAACACAGCAGCATTGATTCACATTGTGCGCGCATGCATGCGACTAAGCCTGGCTGCTCTTTGACAGGACCCGAATTATCAAGATGCAAGATGAGCACTCAAAGCCTTTGCCACGGCTTGGCCAAATGATTCCGCATCATCCGTGCGATCACAACGCATTTCGATAACCAGTGTGAAGCATCGCGTCTCTCTTCCGAACGTGTCACCGAGATCCCCTGGACGATGAGACCACTCTGACATCATCACCGCCAATTCTCGCACCCCAAGCAGCTTGCCACTTTGGGCTTCAACCTTGCCAGTTGCAACTGCTTCCATTTCAGGGTCATGCTCATCTTGCCAAGCCAAAGAGGCCAAATGCTCTGCGGCTTCTTTTGGCAAATGATCCTTCTCGCCCAGCCACAAAAACCAACGTGATGCCAGGAATCGTGTTGACAAGGCCCAGGGACCCTGGGTGGGGTAGGGGCTTGGCCCCAGCTTAAAGCCGTTCTCCTCTAAGCAAAGATCCAGTGCTCGCTCCAGGGGCTTAGGAGTACCTCGCAGATCGCCTGGCAACAGTCTCGCCAGGCCCACGGGAAATTGAGTAGCCCATGGCGTCGAATGAACTACAGCAGCTTGGGCCCTTCGAACTGGGCGACCACCAGCTTCTCGATCATACGTTGACCCCAAGTCTCCATAGCTGTGGATTTCCACAAACCCTCTCCGTTCTGCGGCCGCAGCTTGGATTGTTGACAAGGCAGCCCTGTACCACTTCTCAAGGGCATCGTTGCCGTCCGGGTGAATGTGCTCTGCTGCCCAACTGCTGAGTGCACCCTTGCCAAAAAGGGTCCTTCGATTGACGTCCAAAGACTTTCGACTACAGCTGCACGACTGCAACCTGTGAATACTGCGCTGTCAAGTCTTAAGCTGACATCACCGGTCCCAATTTGATGCAAGCAGCTCTGTCTTTTCTGTCCGCCCTCGCCAGCCGCGGTTTAAATCCATGAGGCCACGGGGAAGGCGGGGCCGGAAACCCTGGGCCGCCAGTTTAGAAACAGCCACTTCAAAAGCTTCACCGCTGCCTTCATCGTGCCATTCCTGGGCTGTCGCTGACTGTCCCCGGTCAGGCCAATAAACAAACTAAACATTCTGCACCACGAGTCAACGAGCGTCGTTCATTTCCTCCGTCACCTCGTCCTTGTTGTGCGGCCACGCGGCGATGAATGGCCTGTCAGTGTTGTTCATGTTGAAAGCCCCACTGCTGCAAAGACCGCACTTGCGAGTTGTCGAAGAATCCTGTGTGCCTGCTAGAATCTGCTAGAACCGAGGTCAGACCACCTCAAGCCGTGCAACGCTTGGCAAACGACAGGTTGCCAACTCTATTAACCGAGAACACAGCAACTCCGTCAGTCGGAGATGGTGACTGGGTGCAACCCTTTGGAAACCCATTCTTGAAGAAAATACTTCGCTGATACGAAGTCCAAACAGAATTGAACTGAAACCAGAACTCGATTGTATCCGAGCTCGTGCATCCTATCAGCCGTGCAGAATGCTTGAACCCAAAGTGTTAAAACCTCCAGCAGGGGACCCAGCATTGTCCGCGGGCACTGTTGCATGAGGCGCAATCAGTAAGACATCAGCGTCGCCACCGCCGCGACAATCCAAGGGGGGCACTGGCTCTGGAAAGGCCATGGCTGCACAACGAGCAACTTGAATCTGGCAAAGCCGCCCACGTGGAGACATGATGATGGTGGCGGTGGCGGTGATGATGTCGTATCGCATTCTGAGTCTGCAACTATCCCTTCTACTACGATCCTGCGGCATGCAAAGCAGCCAGCCGATGCGGTGAATCCAGCAAGTCGGGGACTATGGTTTCAGGGCGGTCGCTGCCAGATTCCTGACAAACTCAAAACGTCCTGTGGCCACAAGACCAGTGCCCGCCTGTGCGTCAGTATATCCCTTAGGCCCTAGGATCTTTGCACTGTTCGACATCGCATTCTTAAGTGTGCGATATAAGATATAAGCGTTGTGGTGACCTGCATTGTCTTACCATAGGCTTTACAAAAGACTCCAGACCTGTTGCTATATTGTCGTGTGCTTCGTTGCGGTTCAGTCTCAGTTGGTATTCAGGCAGCCTCGCGACCTGTCACGCGCGGTCGGTACAACATCTTGCTGGCAGCAGTTGATCTTTCTGGTTCGGTTGAGCGGGCTTCCTTCACGTTGCTGCCAACTGTTTGGGACCACCTCGTCCCCTTCTACCTGTTCATTTGTCCGCACGAAACTTGTGCCCCAGACGATCGAGCAACTTTAGACCAGTCCTGAAACTGCGGCTGGCGCATTGACCGTGCTCTTGAGATTTGTTGTCTCTGTCTAGACCGCGTGGGGCGTTTCTGCATAAAGCAATAATTAAACATAACTAGACAAGTCAGGCACCACGACCACGGCATTTGGCTGGTGCTTAGGGTGTGGGCGAAGCGCCGCGATGCTTCGTGCAATTCATACCTGCAGGGATTGCGCCAAGGACCTCGGACTTTGAACAAGGATCCCCTGGCTTACAAGACTCGGCAACCAAGACCGAGTTACTGTCCACTAGAGTTGACATACAATTGCACACAAGCTGCACATGAGCAAGTAGTGAAACTTCTCGATTTTTGTCTAACCTCCAGGCGCACTTCTTCGCGACCTGGTGTTGCGCACCCTCTCCCCTAAAGGAGCACAATGTCCCAAGCATTGCGCATGGCAATCCTAGTGCGGAAAGGCTTTCTGGAGTCTGGGCACACGAACAAAGACTGACAAGAGAATGTTCTCTGATAGAACACGCCGTTGCAGCTGAGCAGTCCGGAAAGCTCCAGAACCTGCCTTCTATCGCCCCCTACACTGCCTACATTTACACTCAATTAAATTTAAAAATTTGCAGGTCTCTGCATAGCCATGGCCGGGCCGAGGTTTCCTGTCTCAGGCAAAGGACGACTTCTTGTGTTGCCGATCCTGGTGTGTTGTTTGCAGTAGCAGCACCCCGTTGTGCACGATTTTCGTGGGAGGCCAGATACAATGACACGATGCAGAACCTGCTGTCTATCCTGGCCAACCCTTCTCTAGGTTCGTGTCGCGGCTGACTATGTTCAACTTCTACTGGTTCTACTCATTGATGCACGGTGGCAAGTGCCGTGCTCGCGACTCGCGAGTCGATCACAAGACAGAGAGCAAGAGAAGGGAAACAAGCTGCAATGCCAGCGGCTCATTGACCTCGAGAGTACGCTGAGGTTTCTTGGCTTGCAACAGAACAGGCGTGCCATTTCTTGCCGCAACGGTTCATGCACTGCTGTGAGCTGCAAACTGATCGCACAAACACCAGCTGCCAAATCCTTCTCAGTTTTTTGAGATGAGCAGCCGGTGCACCCTTTCGGCCCTGAAGCACGAACCTTCAAAGCCTCAAAGAATCCCTGTGCCCTCACGTTCTGAGTCGCAGACCCTGGGCTCAAACCACGGCCGCCACGCGCAACGTCGGCTCCAAGGCCCCCGCGCCTGGGCCTCGGCTGAAACCAGGAGAAGCATCGGATGAAGAGCAACGGAAGAGGGCCCTGTTTTTTTAACCCACTATACTCCCAAGTTTGACCGTAAACCCGGCAAGGGACGTCTTCCACCTATGGGGCAGAGTGAGCAAAGTCTGCGCTACATGGACGGCAACGTACCATGGTCGACCTCAAGCCTGAAGCCCCTTTCAGCAGGAATATGCGTGCGAGAGCATTATTTTCGCTTTGACAGCAAACCGCAGTCCAAGTCCGCGCACTGTAAGGGTACCTTCACAGGCACCACCCCGAAGTGGACTCCAGCGATCGGCGGTTCTAGTTGCAACCTGTAGCAGCATGCGCAAGCTGCACGAGTTTTCGGTTCTAGATCTGGTTACTGCAAGACGCAAGATGTGACGAAACCGGCCGTCGACACAGCCTGTTCGCTTGAACATGACAGGGCTTCTGGCCTCTGCGGCTGTTTACAACGGGGAGATACTCTACAAAGCACCCGCACTGATTGAGAATGGCAGCTGATGCTGCAAGGACCGACGGTGCGGAACATAGGCTGAAGGCGCGGGAGCACTACCGCCATGCGGTTTAGTTGATCCATGATGGGGTGTCTGGAGAACCGCAGCACATCAACTCGAAGCTGCTGTACGGCAAGCTGGCATTTCTTTAGTCGCCCCTGTAACACCATCTGCCGAATTGCTGAACCTCTCTGCTGCAGATGGCCATACGATCACAAATCGCCGATTCTCGATCTCGGCAGCAGAAACAGGAGCAGCACGTGCCCAAGCTCTGAAAAGAAGAAGCACAACATGCGTTTGGAAGTAGAAGGCCCGTGTAGCCTTCAGTCCATCCAAATGGCTACCCTTAACTTAAACTTGCATCTACAGCCTTGCGACTGTAGCAGGCTGCAGGCAAACAGCTTCTTTTGCCAGCAGCCACGAGCCGAGCATCCGGTGCGTTTCTTATCGTTTCTTCTGCAGCATGTCTTAGCCTAAACCCAGTTTGGACAACGGATGTGAAAGCTGCGATTCTTGCATTGGATGCATGTTCGCGTCGGTGAATTCGGACGTGCAAAGGCATTGAAGAGAACGGAGCGCCTGCTTTTCAAGCGCCTCACGGCTTCGAGACGTGGCAGTCAATCGGCTTTCTGCGGCGTGAGCCACTTGCTGCGAGCATCAAAAACGAGGAGCCTATTGGCACCGGCATACATCACACTAACCCTCCCACAACCCTTCCAGTATCTTCCAGTACGGACAAACAGTGTGACGCCGCTGCCTGTCCGGGCCGAGGTTCTAAAGCCTCGGCACCCAGTGAAACCTGAAGTAACTGATATTCGGCAGCCGGTGGCAGTGACTCAGGATTCCTTGCCTGAGGCGTCCCTGCTCAAATCCGTTTGCGACAACAGGTGCCGGAGCTGCGCAAAGGAGCCATGCCATGTCCGCAGGCGCCGCAGGACTTCGGGCATGCCTGGGCACTGGGACCATTTTTGGCGCAACGTGCGGCCAGTTTGCACATGCGCGTGAGCGAGACATTAATTTAACGTATGCTAGAAATCAAAACGCTCCACAAGTCATGCATGATTGCAACAAGCCTCACCGTCGCCCAAGGCATGTATTGGTGCGCGAGGCAACACAACGCGTGTTGCTTTTCCGAGATTCGATTGATCCGAAAAGTTCCTTCGAGGATATTATGGTTGCGCCCCAGGCGGGCCATATGCACGAATCGTCATACACCTGGCTCCCCTCCCTCGCCTTGTGAGGGGATACCATTTGGGTGGAGGGGGTGGAAGGAGAGAGGGGGGGCAAAACGCACGGTGCACAACCACAACAGACATGATCCGGCGGGTTCGGTCAGCCGCCCCCCCTCCCCCCCAATGGTTGGTACCCCTTCGCCCGCCCCCCCTTGTGCCGCCTTTGGTGTGGTGTGGTTCGGGGTTTGGGTCTGCTCTCAGTCCCTGCGCCCCACTGTGGTGTGGTGTGGTTCGCGGTTCGGGTCGCCCTGCGTGTTTCGGAAGCGTCGTCATCATCATCGTCGTCCTCATCATCATCATCGTCGTCATCCTCATCCTCACCGTCATCATCATGATGTTCCTTTCTTGGGACAACTGCCACAGGAAGCGGGCCCGACAGGAACGTCTCCTGGTGACAGTTGCATGTTCAATTCCCGCATGGCAGAGTCCTGGTTGGAAAGTGTCCACTGTCACGAGGATCGGGTGTGTTTGGGACGAGATCCTCGTAACAGTTGATGGCTTTGGAGCGCCATGTGGGAGAAGTACGCACAGTCACAGGGATTCGGCGTGCCGGGGGGGGATACCATGGAACCCAGAACCGGGATCATATTTGCAGCGCGTGTGCTGCCGATCGTTTGCTTTTCCAGGGGCTTCTAATCTTTCGTGAGTAAACCAAATCTGCCAAAGCTCCTTGAGCAGCTCCTCCTTGAACAAATACGCACCTGAGCGTATTAAGGCAAAGGCAAGAAGACCTGAGAAGTTCTCCAGGAGAGAACAGGGACAGCGGAGCGGCGGAGCGACATGTCAGACCAAACCCACCGTCCTAGTCACGGGCCCCAGTCAGACACCGAACCGAGCCTGCAACAAGCCTTCGACTGATTACCCTTTCCACACGACCGCGTGACCTGACAGAAAGACTGAACCTCCGAGCAAGCGGCTGCAGTTTCTTGAACTGAACCAGCTGCAAAGCCAGTTGAAGGTGCCCCTCGCGATGCTTCTCCGCTCCGAAGGTCATGTTACAGAGATGACTCCACGAGCCTACAATCCGCCAATCAATCTGCAGCTATGCCATGTCTTCGTGATCTGGGCGACTAGGATCGCGGCATGTTGTTGAGATTGAGGATGCACAGGACGATTCCAAAAACAGTTGCCGTGAGGATACGTACACTGCAGCCGGACACGACGGCCAGACCGGTTTGGATTGCTCGACAATACCAGGTTTCCGGCCCTGCTTTGGAAAATTATGCGGAATGCGAGTGCCCAATCAAAAGCTCTCAACGCCAAGCTCACTCATGCAGACGCCTGCAGAAGCCCTTACACCTTCACCATAGTGAACAGCCACGGCATATGGGTGCAACCGTGCCTGTATAGCGGGTCGTCCTCGCAGCTACCGGCCTGTACTGGATATGCACCAACCAACCAACCAACCAACCAACCAACCAACCAGTGGGTTATAGCCAACAACAGCGACGTAGAATAGCAGCAGCGGTGGCGGCCGCAGCGGTGGCGGTGGGGTGGTGGTGGAAGTCGTTGCGTCGTCATAGTCATCTTACTTGGCCATGGTCGCGGTGGCGGCGGCGGCGGCCATGGCGGCGGTGGTGGTGGTGGATTTTGGTGGTCGTGGTAGTGGTAGTGGCCGCGGCCGCGGTCGCGGTAGTGATGGGGGTACCAGAGTAGAAGTAGCAGAAGGAGGAGCAGGGGGAGAAGAACAACAACAGCAATAGTACTGGTACAAGTGCATTCAACAGCAACAGCAGCAACAGCAGCAGCAGTAGCTGTAGCTGGAGCTGAGCAGAAGCACCAGCAGCAGTAGCAGCAGCAGCAGCAGAGCAACAGCAGCAGCAGTAGCACTTTCAGTAGCCATAGCCGTCGCCGCAGCAGAGCATTGGCGGTAGCAGTAGCAGTAGCACTCTAGACTAGCAGCGTTTCAGCAGTAGTTGCAGAGCAGCAGCAGCAGCAGCAGC